TCCAAGTTGGTTTTATGTGTGAGTCCATTTTGTGCCTGTTTCCTCATTGCCCGCCAATGTCTGTCGCATTATCCAATCTACTGCAACTGGGGAAATCATTGGCGATAGTAGGCAGCCAGCTTGTCTTACTCCTGTCCTCACTTCGAAGGATTCCGTAAGTTTCCCGTTGTGGATTACTTGGCATGCAGCATTGTCGTACAGCTGTTGGATGAGATGTATAATTGTCGGTGGCACCCCGTATTAGCGAAGTAGTTTCCAAATCACCCCTCGATCGACGCTGTCAAAGGTCTTTTCAAAGTCGATGAAGTTGAGATAGAGCGGTGACTGCCATTCCAGGCTTTGTTCAATGATGATCCGTAATGTGGCGATCTGATCAATGCTTGTTTCTCCTGAATCCAGCCTGTTCCGGTCGAAGTTTTTCATCCAGGTTGGCATGTTTGATTCTCTCCAGGATGATGCGGCTTAGTATTTTGCTTGGGATGGACAGCGGCATAATTCCGTGCCAGTTCTTGCATTGACTTAAGTCTCCTTTCTTTGGTAGTTTGAATAAGTAGCCTTTCTTCCAATCCTCGGGTACCTTGCTTTGTTTCCACACCTTCTTCAGTAGTGGCGTCATCAAGTCCGCTGTTGTTTCTGGGTCCGTTTTCAATGCTTCTGCTAGGATTCCATCTGGTCCTGCTGCTTTTCCAGCTTTTAGCATCTTGATTGCCTTCAGGACTTCTGATTTGGTCGGGGGGTTGGTGTTCACTGGTAGCTCTGTCTCCGTCGTTGGTATTGATGGGCGCGTTGTCGGTGGTGGTCGATTTAGGAGTCTTTAGAAGTGTTCAGCCCAGTGTTTCCTTTGCTCCACTTCTTTGGTGAGTGACTTTCTATTGTCATTCTTCAACAGCTTAATTTGTGTCAAACGTTTGCCCGATAGGTACCTAGTTGTTTGGTAGAGTGTTGCGAGATCTCCTTTGCCTGCAGCTTGTTCTGCTTCACTTGCCATGGTTTCATAATACTTTCTTTTGTCTTCTCTGGCACTCTTTAATTCACTCTTTATCTAATTCAGTAATAAATGTAATTGGGTTATTAGGGAAGATGACTACTAAAAGCACTGCAGTGGTCCTTGGAGTAGTAAGCTAATGTAAACCAGTAGTGGCTAAAGATAAGAATGACATAATTGCACACCTCAGCAAGAACTAACATGTTTGTGTAATAGAGTGTATTTTTCGTAGTCTTTGATTAGAGGTTAATACTGGTTCACCCCAGTTGAACAGTAAATAAACTCGTGAGGATGAGCATGTGTGTATGGAACACAGTCTTCACCTTTCATAGTCTCTGCTGCATGCGATTTATCACTCCAATAAGAAGGAAGGAAGTGTTTAAACAAGAATCAAGCGACAAACAGTGGTGTCTAGTAAAGCTGGAAAATCTTCATTCAGAATTAGTAATGGGCATGAGATGTTCAATCAGAAAGGGAGAAATCTTCGTCTTCATGGAATACTTTGCTACATTTTAATACGTTCATAATTCTATGCTTATAGTACATTCTGGGGCTTCATTCTCGACAATTCCACTCTATTATCCTCATTTATGTACCCTTTTATCTTATTTTCACGATCTTTTCATACGGTGATAACCAGTGGTGTCCGTCAGGGATGACGAGATTCTGTTCAATTTCACCATGTATGTAATAATGGACTTAACGCTAACTGAGTTTAGCTACTCAGGGATTAGACTGTTACCAGGGAATAGTCTCGTTGAGTATGTTGATGAAATAGTCCTTCTAGGTGAAGATAAAATTCAGAGTCTTCTGAACACCTTGAGGGGCAGCAATCTTCTAATGTTTGGCATGCAATTCGCTCCCGTCAAATGTAAGATGCTACAGGACTGTACTACACTGACTGACTCCTGAATTAAAGATAGAGAGGTAAATGTGCGTCGGTGGCACAGTGGTTATGACCCTCACCGACCATGCAAATGGTCCTGGTTTCGATCCCCTACTGACGCACACCCGATATCAATGGTCGGCCTGCAAAATTAGGGCTACCGATATCACATGCTGAAAATTCCATAACTGTACCAAAAATACGGTGTGGAATAAAGCTATAATAAACAAATGGTGGCTGAGCGTGTTGACCACTTCACTTATTTGGGGAGTTGCATCATTCAGCCCCAACGGGTTGATTGCTGACAAAATCTCAGCACGGATACAGAAGGCTCGTTCGGCATATGCCAACTTACGCTGTCTCTGGCGTAGACGTGATATCCGGTTGTCGACCAAAGGACGTGTGTACTTCTCAGCAGTTCGCTCCGTTCCCCTCTATGGTTGTGAGACATGGCGACTGGAAACGGAAGATACGAAAAGACCGGCTAGCTGTCTTTTTCATAGGCGTCTGCGTTCTATCTCGCATGTGTGTTAGATGGTATAATAAGGTGAACAGTACTGAGGTTAGGCTTCGGTCGAGTGCTAGGTAGGTTGGAGGGGAAATCAACAGACGAGGCTGTGAAGTTACATCGACTGAGATGGTTAGGACATGTGTTACGTAGGCCTAGCCGTCTTCTTCCTCGATGGGCAATGTTAGCTGACATAAAATGGATCAGGTTGGAAAAGAGCTAGCGGTGGTCAAACCAAAACATGGCTTCATCAGTCGATGAAATCCATAACAGTTAGTTTAAGCCATCCATGTCAGGAGGCGTAGACTGGCTTCTTGGTTTTGGTCCTCGGGATGGTAAAAACCAGTGGAGACTGCAGACAACTGGTGATATCTCTCAAAGTCGTTCTCAATGTTTACGTGCTATAATTTTCAATTAAAAATAAAAGTTTGCTACAAAAGCCTTGACGCTACATCATTTTGCGTACGTAGTTACAGGTAGTAACTTCAGATGTATTTCAAGAAGACTTATGCCATCAGATAAGTTCACTGGACAGACATTATATTACTAGCTGTAGGTTTCAATGTGCCTGTAAGGTTACAAGGCTCAAAGGACAGTCAGTAGGGTGATTAGTGAGAAGAAGATAATTTTAATTAAGGTAAGGCAGACAATATTATGTAGCTATGCGAAAGAAAGTAAGTTATTTTCAGCCAGTACCATCACAGTCATTGTCGTAATGCCACATGGCATCCCTATCCACCACTCAAAATTGGTGTCAAACAGAAGATATGACTTTGCGTTACCAGTAGTATCGGTGCAAACAGGACTATTCCTCTCTCTTGAACAGTTGCCTGGTTGTGTATCAGTATGTTTAATAAAAATCAACTGTACCTTATCAAAAGTTGCAGAAGCGTGTGCTCACTATTACCACATACCAACGGAGACCAACTTGTTCACTACTGTACACCATCGTCGAAATACGTCACAGTTACATTTAAGAAGCCAACATTCATTCTACAGAATGTAGTCGTTTTAATACAGCCCCCACAAGTAGATAGAAACGCTAGTTTTCAAAACATTTCATGTTTGATTTCATTTACAGGGAGAAGACTAACAATTCGATGTTACTAAATTTAGTGGTTGTCGCACAAAGTCGAAAACTTACAGGTGAAAACAAACAAGTCAGCAGAAGAGGCAGGCAGTGAAGACAGTATCTCTAGTAAACACATAAGGGATGTAGAGGTGACTAGGATACCTAACCAACGACAATGAGCACCAATCGGTATCAACTGGAGAAATTTAAATGAAGTCATCTCTTTCAATTTATCTAAGGAGCATCGCTCCAACTCCTCACGGGAAAGATGAGGTTGTTTAAGGCAATCTGGAAATTTACAGTGCTCAGTATAAGGAACAACATCCGAATGATGAACACTAATACCAATTCTTTGCTACCACATTATTATTATTGTTTCCTTTAATTCCTAGAGGAACATAGGTCTTCAACCGTGCGTCTCCATTGCGTTCGGTTCTCTGCTAGAGTCTTCACCTGGCTCCACCTCTGCCCACACACCTTCATCTCCTCTTCAAATCACCTCCTCCAAGTCACCCTCACCCATGCACTGACGACCAACTCGCCGATTCCCTTTCGAGTTCCACTCGAGCAATGGCTTGTCTAGTGATGTCACTTGATAGATTGTTTCCTCAGAGTATGGCCAGCCAATCCATCTCCATTTCTTCCAGCCTATTTCTTTCACAATCGGCTCCTGCTGTGTTGGTTCGCTCATTGCCAGAGATCTCTGTTGCTGATCTTTTCTGGCCGGCCATCTGATCTTGAGTAGTATTGAGCGAAGACAACTGTTAATGAAGGTCTGTAGTTTGTTTGAGGTGCTTTTTATGACGCGCAGTGCAAGTCTCTGATCCGTATAGTAAGTAGCACTGACTTCACATAGTCTATAGATTTGGCGAGCGCATCAACAAAATCATTTCGAATAGGTTACGAGCCCTTGCAATCCCAATACTATACTATAGATCAGATGGTAGGCTTGAAATAGTTATCAACACAAAACTTATCGCTTAATAAATGTGCAGAAGGAAACTTAGGTGAAATGAAAATAAGCAGAGGAAAATGCTTTGTGACGTTGCAAGTCAAGACCTCGAAAGTGGCAGCCGAATAGGAAGCATAGAGTTGAATGTGTGGCCGACTGTGATATGGAGGATATAATATTTGGGGGAAATAAAAAGCCTATTGGCAGTTGTGAAGCTATCTTAAAAAGACTAGGGAGGACAGTGTGAAACGGCGAAGTGTTGCTGACGCCTTCCTTATATCCTACTCTGAACCCAGGTGAATAATTACATATTATATTCAGCTGCAAACTCTAAAACAGAACTTATCATATTCCCCTTATCCCATTCTTAGTCACTGGAATATACTGCTGCAGGTACCTCTAAGTAACACTTTCAAAAAACGATGTCCATACTGTTTTCAAGGTCATATTATTGCAGTAAAAAAAAAGTGGTTAAGAAGAAGAGTAGGACAGGGGAATTGTACAGATATTCATCTCATTCTCTTTTTCTTTATGACTTCACACGCATTTAAGAACAAAAGAAGAAAACAAAAAGTGTTAAGTTATTTGTTGAACATATCCATTATACTCGGTGAATCGTGAAAGTTTACACGCGCACTGAACTCGACATCACTTTGTGCAAACGAATACACACGTTTAAGCACATCTATAAATAGTCGCATGAAGATGATGAGACAAAAGTCGGCAAATGGGGGGAGGTTGACCATAGGATATGGCATAGGAGAGAAATTATTCAAAGTTAAAGAAGTCAAGTACGAAAATTATGTAACACATGGAGAAGTTACTAAAATTACATTAATATACGAAAGGAAAGGAGAGAAAAACGGAAGAGTGAAAAAAAAGACACAAAGAGGATCACAGTTTCATTTTGTCAACATCACAACAACAACAAGAAGAAGAAAGTAAGCGAAGTATTAACACTGAATACACTCATCAATAAAGGCTAGCACACAACCAATTAGATTACAAGGATGCATTATTCGTTTAACGCGCCATAATTAATTAACAAAAAGAAGTAAACACTTTTTACATTGATCACCTTGAACAGTAAGAGAGAAAGAGACAATTTTCATGCTATTTATTATTTCTGCTAAACTTCTAGAAATTCATAGAAGCATTAACACCGCATTCGATATTTTCACGTAGTGCTGGTGGTGGTGTAGTGCTTGTGCTGGGATGATGCGTCGCATGCATATTAGCCGTCAACTCTTGTGAATGATTCCCATAATCATATGATGTACCGTTCAGATCCGTTGTATAAGTAACTAAATTACGCGATGTTGCCGGAAATGCTAGTGGTATTGAATTCGGCTGGTGGTCCATTGAAACACTGATACCATTATTATTATTGTTAGCAGTATTCGCGTTACTATTATTATTATTGCTGTTCGCATAGTTCATTGTTTGATTTGGAATACTGGGAAATGGATTATTAATCATAGCGCCTGATAATGAGTTGATTGGATTAACTGACGTCAGTAAGGACGGCGGAATGGTTTGATAACTTGATGCCATATTTAGTAATCGTTGATAAGCCATAGCAGCAGAGTAGGCATTCAAGTCATTGGCTGAAACTTCTGGTGTAAATGTTCTACAGAATGGTGATACCGAATGGCTTCCAGTCAGAACATTTAGGCCGGTTGTATTTGCAGTAGTGGAATTCAAGTTCAATAAACTTGTCGTAGGTAAACTAGTGGCATTTATCGATGGATGACTGACAGATGGTACGCCAACGAATGAAGTGTTTGTCGGTAAACCAGTGTTTAAACCATTCGCTCCTTGCCCATAGGCAGACATTAGAAGAGCTAAAGCAGCAGGCGATATATTTGCTTGATTTCCATTGGCTGTTGCTGCTAGAGCCGCTGCGGTAGCAGTAGGTGAAGGATTCCCTGTTGCATTTGAAATATTCAGTAAATAATTCAAACTAGCAAGTGGATTCAATGACAGTTGTGCTTGTAGTCGATTATCAACAGTTGGATCAGATATTGGTGACATTTGGGGATGATTAGTCGGTGTTTGTAAAAGTCCACCGTTGATGTTTGGTGATAGTCCACTGGCGTTGGGTAGATTGAAACCTGTGAGTAGACTTGCATTCACTAACGGATTCATTAAAGGGTTGTTGACAAGTGCAGCTGCCGCGGCAGCAGCTGCTGGATTGTTGAAAAGACCCGCCTGACTCGGATCCATTGGCAACCTTGAAATAAATGAAAACAAACAAACAGTGAAATGTAGATTTACTTAGCTTCTGAACATTCACACACGCACACACGTACACCCAAGAACGAAATGCGATTATTATTATTATTATTAACAAAGCAACTGAGGGAACAAAAACCGTCAGGAAATAATATTTTGTTCGTTTTATTCTTTAAACACTGCACACCGTGCAAACAGTTGTGCATTCACAACATAGAAAGCTGTTACATCATTGTGAAACTAGACATTTGAGAGCAGTGTGTTTGTTAGATGCTATGAAATCATCAAGTGGTTTGTCACTTGCCTTAATTCTCTAGATTTTGAGTTTGCCGTCTTAATCATGGATATTAAAACGCAATTGTTATGCCCTAGGGTCGATCTCTACTGTATCTGTCATAAAGATCACAGTTAAATCTGTGTTCATGATGGGTAAAAGGTGTCCAGTAATTTTATGAATCACTGATCTGACATTTCAACCCGTCAGAAACCATCCAAGGGATTACTCCACACTCTACTAGAACCCCAGGTCACTGCCTAAATAGGGCCCTATTCAGGCAGTGACCTGGGATTCTAGTGGGAAGCCGTGACCAGCAGGGTACAGCAGGTTGAAGATGGGGCAGTTACTCATCGAAGAGAACATTGCGAAATGGTCGTGCTATGTCGTAAAAATTGGCAGAAGTTAGAATTCATGGGCTGGCCATTGGATCGGGTCCCAGTGGCTCAATGGTCTACGAGCTCGCTAGCTTTGTAACCAGAAGGTCCTGGGTTTGAACACCGGTGGGTGCGTACTGATTAAGAGTCCCAAACTAGGACGGAGGAAACAGCTGTCCAGTAATCCCTGTAGGTTTCCCAGTCGTTCTATAACTGATGTCAGCTGATGATGAAATCCTCCATCCAATCAAATACAAGCCCTATAAAACCAATACTTGATAACCTGAAATTACTATGGAAACCTAGCGCACTCAGAATGAGGAACAAGATCCAGATCTTCAGCATCAATGTCTTGTCGGTCAGTGCTTGTATATGATTCAGAGACTTGGCCAGCGTGTCTCAGAAGCCTTTCTAACCAGCTACTGCAATCTTCTATCATCTGATTTCTTCACCAACTCGATATTGAGGAGTAGATCTGTGGTTAGAAGGGATTAGCAACAGAGAACTTTGGGAATGAACTGATTTTTAAAAACCTACTGCCCAAAAAAAATATGCCAAACGAAAAGAAGATGGTTTGGACAAACAGCGTGAAGATTGTTGAATGATATCACGCTGTAGGGCCATCGAGTGGGATTCAAATGGGAAAAGACGAGATGTGTGTACATCCAGGGATGATATGGAGGAGATTGTGTGAGTGGGAGGAGAAAGCTTATAGGCAAATATACAGTTAGCTGGAAAGGACTTTAGAGAACAGAGTAAAATGAATAAATATGAGTTATAGAAGGATCTAACAAAGCAGCAGTCTCCAAATAACTACTGCTCGGCATTCTGGTAAATGAACTGTTTTTACAATTAAACAGCATGCAAATCAACTTTACATATATATAGCTCTTTACAACAACAATAATGATTACTGAAATACATGCACACACACACACACACACAAACACATAAAAGTGAAACAATTCACTACAAATACAGTAGAGTTTGAATGTTTAAATCAAAATCAAAAGATAAGATAAGCTATAAACCCTATTCCTTTATTACTATGCTGACCAATCTCATTAATGCTATTATTAGTGTTATTATTGTTACTACTGCTATTGATACTACTACCAGTCATGATATAAGTAGTATTAATGGTCACAAAATTAATAATAATAATAGTAATTGTGTTTCTCTGAGAGGAATGACTGATTGTGTGGAAGAAGTCTCACAGCAGATGAAAATAACAATAATAATAATAGTAATGACAAATTAAAACACAGCACTCAGTGAAGTGTAAAGAAAGCAGAATAATTTTGATAATTAACATGCGTTATCATAATCATAATAGCAGTTGTGGTATGAACGTATTAGCGCGTATGCGCGCATATATAAATGAATAAAATCAATCAACTAGGCATTAGTTGTTTTTTTTAAATTACTGATGATCGATTTTATGTGAATCAAGCAAGACGCCATCATCCTTGTTAGTAGACAATATACTACTTATTAAATAAATAGTATGATTGTCGAAATATGTTGTAGGATAATTATTTCTAAGTTTGTCTACTAACAACATTTTTTAATCTGCATTAGATAAGTTTACATGACAGGTAATAACAGGCAGTGATGAAGCGTTTTATTCATGACAACTGGATGACATTTTGAGTGCAGTTTTGCAATCATAATTATATTGGTAAATTTATGCGACTTCATAACTTCCTCTTTATTTAGCCTTTCTTCCTGATTACTTTTATTATCTTGTGTAACAAAATAATTCTGCGGGAAATCTCTCATGAAAGATTTAATGATAATACTGATGCTAACTTTGTAATTAGTTGGAGGATATCATCGTGAGCTGACATCAGTTAAAGAACCACTGGAAAACCTGCAGGGAATACTTGGCAACTGTTTCGTTCTATTTTGGGACTCTTCATCGGTACGCACCCACCGCCAAGGTTTGAACCCAGGATCTTCTGGTTACGGGGCTAGCTCCTTGTGTCATTCTAACTGTGAGTGTTTGGTGCTGATTCTATGAATGGAGATTTAGAGATTATCCTGTCTCTACCTAAGTATATTATTCCCTAGTACTTTCGCCCTATCTCACCATACTGTGTGATTACATGCAAATGAATGCATAGCAATGACCGAATTGTTTTTTTTTAAAGATTATTTAACTTAGCATGGTAGATCATTCTAGATCAAGATTTGAATTCCTATGTCCCAATAATTTAATTGTCCTCGATCTATTGGTTTGACCTATGCACTTGACCACAGTATCATTACCCGACAGAGATCGAACCAAGGATCTTCAGGTTACAAAGGGAACTCGTATAAAGAAGTAGAGCTTCTGAGATGGGGTCCAGTGGCCGGTCCATCAATTCTTTCAACTTCTTTCAACTCGCCATAATATAGTCAGAGACCACTAGTCAATGTCATCGGTGAATGCCTGGTTTTCACTTATTAGACCTCACTGATCACGACTTCCCATTTAGGTTTCTGATTAGATCTGTCAAGTCCTTAAGCAGATAGAGTTTGTCTTTGAGTGAGTTCTTTGGTTAGTTTAAATGCCACATGTTTGAAGTGTTACCCAATCCTATTAATACACTGTATCACTCACTGTATATTAGTTACTGCATGAAATAAACTTATCTGATATGGAATTCAAGTGTGACTACGGATTGATATCAGTTAGAGAAGCCAGCAGGGAGTACTGGACGGCTGTTTCGTCAGCTTAGTTTGGGAATCATTGGCAGTATCCATCCACAGGGATTTGAACCCAGGACCTTCTGGTTACGAAGTAATCTGCCAGACAGTTCAGCCACTGGGACCCGGCTCAATGGTTAATGAATTCTAACTTCCACAAATTCGTCATTTAACAATTGAAATCCCCTGAAAAATAACTCTTGATAATATGGAACTGAATATTCTACCACACAATGTATTATTATTATTATTGTTCTCTTGGGTTCCTAGTGGAACATTGGGCTTCAACTACACGCCTCCACTTGCTTCTGTCTTCTGCTGTACTTTTCACCCGCATCCATGTTAGTCCATACTGTTTCAGCTCCTCTTCGCACGATCTCCTCCATATCACCCTTGCACTGACGACCAACTCGCCGCTTCCCATTCGGGTTCCACTCGAGCACTGGCCTGATGCGTGATGTCACCCAGCGGCCTCCTCAGCGAGTGTCCAATCCATCTCCACTTTCTCCTGCATATTTGTTGGGCGATTGGTTCTTGTTTTGTTTGTTCCCATACTTTCTTGTTGGTTCTTGTTCCTTCCGGCCATCTGATCTTCAGTATAGAGCCAGCGAAGACAGTTGTTGATAAATGTCTGCAACAGGCTGTTGGAAATATTCTTTGTGACCCGCCGCCAAGTTTCTGATCCATCCGTATAGAAGAACTGACTGACTTGACGTTTGTATTGGAAATCCGAATTTTGTTGTTGATGCAGGCTGAGTGACAGCGGAAGATTTCCGGATTGGTTTCAGGTTGATGAGTGTGTTTCTCGCCTTCCCGATTCTCAATGCGACATCCTCGTCCGTTCCTCGTGTAGTTGAGACAATGCTTCCTAGATAGGTGGATGAAGTAACCTCTTTCAAATCCCTCCAGTTGATGGTGATTAGCGCTGGATGTTGCTGCTGTTGTTGTTGTCGGTTATTTTCATAACCTTCGTCTTGTCTATGTTCACCTGGAGTCCTGTCTTTGCTGCCAGCCTCTTCGACCAGTTTGTCGGTTTTCGCTTGTAAGTCTTCGATTTTGTGTGAAATCAAACATAGATTACTAGCCTCGCCTAGATTACTAGCTCACTAGTTCTCAAGCCGGTCCCAAGCCCGGATAAAGAGGGAGGGTTGGGGCGTGGTGCTAGCAACTCCACCCCCAAAATTAACCAAAGTGCTACAGAAGCTTCAACGTACAAATACCACACAATGCCCAAATTCTAATTTTACATTGGTGATTCGTTATTACTTATGTGAATATACACTTATAGAAATGTATGTACACACACGAACACACAAACACCACAAAGGAAAGAAAGGAAGAGGGAGAGTGAACACGACACAACACACACACACAAACACAAACTGCGAAAATGTTCAACTAAAAACAAAACAACATAAAAAGGAAGAACTCCACAACATGTTGAAACTGCCTACCGGAAAGAATTCACAGTAATTTGTAAAGAGTATAGACTCCACGCATTATATCCCTTTTATTTCGATATATAAGAAAACAAATTGCACATATACATATATTAATAGTATGATTGATTAGGTGCTTATTTTTGATAAAAATAGGATTTAATGTCAACGGAACAAATAATGTTTTCGTTATGGTATGAAAAGTCACCCCGCCGTC